ACGGATCTTCCATATAGTAGCCTCTTAATTTTGACCCTTGTCAATGGATTTATGGTCTAATTTTCTGTTAAGAAACAAAGAAACAAAAGAAAACATGGTGAAAACGAAACAAGGAAACAAAAAGAAAATAAAATGGTTTAGATATTATTCAACTCCTTCATCTCTCTGCCAGACTAAGCTACTGTTCAATGATTGGCTCATTCCATTCATATTCCGCATTAGTTTATGCGTGGTGTCAGCACAAAATAACTCTTTGAAACTTTTCTTACGTTTTTGTTCTTTTGTGACATTTGATATACACTTACAAAATAATATAGGAATTGTCATTTGCAGCAACTGTTTTTTTTTTCAACTCATTAGGAATTTGCGTCTTTTGTATTTTAGACAATTATCTTTAGCTGCCTTCCTGGCAACTTAAAACTTTACCCCGTGTTTAGTAATTTGGATTGTAAGTCAAAACATGCCGAATAATCTTTATAGAAATCTTCTTTATTTTAATCGCATCCGGCACACATGCACATGCTCAGAATCTGGAAACAAAATTACAAAAAGAAAAAAAAAGCAAAGAAGGAAAGGAAGAAAAAACGAATTCAACCCAAAGCGTCCTTCAAGCCATGTGCACCTGGATAATTATTTTTCGGTTGGGGTGTAGAGTGGAAGGCAAACATGTAAACTTCAACTATTAAATTTTACGGATACAGGCCAAATAATGTTTAATTGGTCTAATCCGGGGGAGGGGGAGGTAGCACCTTACCTAATGTGAGAGCGCCCTTGTTAAAAGCTTTTGGAAGACTTAATGATTGATTGCAAATGTCAGTGTTCAGAGAAACAATTCATTTAAGTACTTTATATTACATATCTGTTTCAGTCTTTATATGTCACTTTAGCGAGTTAATTTTACGCCGACTTGTATGTGTTGCTTTACATTTTTAGGAATGCTTTCAAGGAATGGACATGGATGGCGACCAGAAAATTACTTTGGATGAGTTTGTGAATGACCTGACAAAGTCAGGCAGAAAGTAAGTTGCTATTTCGACTCGTTCTGCTCAAGGCAATGCAGTGCAATTTTATGTCTCAGTTTCTTCGATTTATAAGTCATCTTTCTTTTTCTGTACACAATTTAATGTTTGCGTGTATATTTTTTGTTTTACAAAGTACTTAACATTTTTGTTATTTGTTTAGTTTTTATACTTTTTAATTTTTAGCGAACAGATAATATTGCTACTTTTTAGTGAACAAGTCCTACTGCCATCTCCGCTAGCCAAGGTTCTGATATGTTAACACTATCTCCGCCACTTATTTACCAAGGAATATTTCTATTAGTATGAACATATCCTAATTATTCATTGCCTGTTGATAAGGCTGTTATTGACGTTTTCGCGCGCTGTTTAAATTATGTGCGACAGCATTGTTTTTCAATGTTTACACGCATTGTCTTTACGAGAGCGATAGCATAGAAGACGACTTAGGTTAGCAATGTGGATTTTGTTCAGCAATGATTTATTTTAATTTACAAAACGTTCTTATTTTGACACAGGTTTTGAATAACATAAAAGCTAGAATTTCAGGATGTTTGGTAAAATCAAAGTCGCCTTGAGTCGCTCCATCTGCCTGTGATGCAGGAGTGTACATGCACAAGGGGAAGTAATACGCAAGAAAACGCGGCAACTGAACACTTAGGCCCTTTGTGGAAAAAAGGGGCTAAATAAAGGAATTTACGTAACAAACAGGTGTTGAGTTAGGAATTTTAATTCAAGAAGTTTCATCTCCAGTGTGTTAAAATCTCGTGTTTGTTGATCTATATGGTACAAAATCAGTCATCCCCATCGCCCGTGTCTGTTCGTTTCACATGGAATTTATGTAACGTGCGAAATATTTTTTTAAAAATATTTTTCAAGTAATCATTATCACGAAATTAAATATATTTAATTACGAATTTATTTTTTGTAGAAAAATATTTAAGATTGTGCTTTTAGCTAAACTGAAACATTAGTGTGTGTAGAAAATACAATATTAAAAGTAAATATAATGAAATTATGGTTAATAATTAAGTTACAGCTTTAAAGAATGAAAATTAATTGTGATTTTATTTCTTACAGACAAAAGTTGAAGGAAACTTTTGAGGCATGGGATAAAGACGGCAGCGGTGAGCTCTCCAAGGATGAGTTGAAGTCCGCCATCGCGGAAACCATGGATGAAGACACGGCTAACGAAATAGTTGATCAGATTAACGACGACAAAATTACGCTGGATGACTTTTTGGAACTATGTAATTGAATGCATAATTCAAATTTGATAAAATAAGCTTTTAGATACTTACACGTCTAAGCTGTAAGGTACATGCATTTTTTGAAGCTACTTTTCAAGTTCCTTTTTTGTTTCTTTGCCTTTTAAATCGTTTAACACGTTCTGAAGACTAAATTTTAGTCCTCTCGGTAAATTTAAAATTCTTTGTATTGGCACGCAAAGTCGGTATGCATATAAAAAATTCCAGATTTTACTCCATGAACATTTAAAAACCGCAACGGTGATTACATTATTATAAAACATTTCAGATACGTGACACTAAGAATACAAGGCGGTGGCGGTTAACGAAACCTAGCTTTATTATACTTTGATTTGTGGAAAGACTTGCATATTTTAGTGACAGATTGGTTGAGTTTTCATCATATTACATACGTAAGAAAAAGCATATTTCCAAACTTTTCAGCAGATATTGTGTATCGTGGTTGTTGTCTCTATCCTTTGATAACTATCCGTTCTGTTTTTCCCCCACTTGAGACTTTGTCCATATCGTTGGGAAAATAGCCTATCCCTAATATCACGGATGTTCTGGCTTTCATATAAATCTATAGAGACACCACGGCTATTCAGAAAAAAATGACCTTACATATGGAGTACAGAAAAAAATAACCTTACATACGGAGTAAAGATCTTCCAAATATCAACAGTAGACATGTACATATCGTAGCCAACAGTTGTATCCTGTGATAACCTCGTGAGTTTTCAGATATATCCTGTGATAACCTAGTGGGTGTTAAGACATCCTTTGTCTTAAGCATTTACAATAAAGCCCGATGCTTGCCATCGAAAGCCTGTGAATCCAAAATACGTAGTATCAAATTTCGCTGGAGAAAAATACAATATTTATTATACCGTTATCTTGATTTTTACTATTAGGGTTTATATAATTTTTACAAATAAAGAAGTTTTATCAACAACGAACGGAAGGTTTCCAAAACCTCAAAAATGCTACTGTCTGCATTTAATTACACTGACTCGCATAATCGAATGAAAATCCGAATAGAGATGGTACCATAATATATATATCTTTTACGAGAAATTCAGGTCGATAATGTCTCTAATATATTTGATAGCTTGGCCAAAAATGCTTACGAGTTGCTGTTTTACCTTTAATAACGCAAAATTTTAATGATAACTCACATAATGTCAAAACAGATGAATAATATGTCCTTTCCATTATTCATTTTTTGCTAAATGTTTATAAAGTACTTTATAATTGGTCCGTAAGTTGTATTCAGTGTTTGGCTAGATAGGGATTCCTGTTATAGTTAACCAATTATATTAATCTCTTTTCTATATTTTGGTCAAGAAGATACTATTCAAAGGTAAATACAGCGTTTATTAATCCATAAGCTAATTATCTACTCTGCTGTGGTTGAAACCATTTTAGTATAACGCAACTGAGACTAAAAAAGGACTTCTCTTTTTTTACCATTTTTCTAAAATTTCTTGTGACCAAGTTAACATCGAGTGAAACATTTTGACATATTGCAGTCACTGTATCATTTTAATGCGGTCCTATAACACAAACAAGGTAATGGAATAAAGTTTTCTTCTGAAGCTTGCTTGTGATAACTTTTATTTTATGGATGCTTTCACTATTGAACACGCATACAACATAAAACATGTGATATTGTTATAAAACGTACACTGTTGAGAATTTTAACATATTCTTCCTCAACTGCGTAAAGTTTGGATGCCTGTACCGGACATGACGACATCACAAATATCCGCATACTAGAGAATTATGCACCACTTGCTTCTTTCCAGAAACATATATTCTAATTAATCAGAAATAAAACTCAGACCTTTTCTCTAAAGTACGGAATACGTCATAATGATTTGATTACCCTGACACCTGGTCTATAACGAAGGAGGGTGACAATATCCGCTTTTAATTTGTACATATAACTGGACAGGATCAGGTCAAGTAATTGAGTAATTGGGAAGAGGGTTGTTTCAAAAATTTAAATGGGCCCTTACTTTTCTCGAAAAGACACCAAAGTAAAGAGTGTTCTGGATAACTAATAAACGTGCGCAAGAACATATCAATTGTCAAATTTTAAGCGACAAGTGACTCATACGTGTGTGTGTTTACGTTTTTTTTGTTTAGTTTGAGATGGGGTGGTTACCGTACACTCTGTTCTTCCCCGCCTCCTAGCCCTGCATGAATCCAATCCGAGGCACAATATACTGGTCGTTACCAAAAATCAGAAAATCCTTTAAGTGGCATCATCTCAAAAACCGGTAAAAAAATTTTGACCACTTTTTGGGGCAAAACTATCCCGGCATGAATGGTTTCAGTTGAGATCTACAACCACGTCACCAGGATGAGAGAAGACCGACTACCAAATATCTTTTTCGGCTAGCTGAAGGAGGAAAGCGTTTTCTGGGTGATCAGAAGAAACACTTCAAAGATACCACTCAAGTTCTCACTGAAACACTTCAGCACTGAGTCTTGAAATATCTCACATAGGAATGCTCCACACTGCGTAGTCTGGTCCATACTGAAGCTGCATACTTTGAATAGATGGATAAAAATTGCAGAAGCGCGAGCCGCAAAATCTCAGAACTGCAGCACATTGCTCAAGCAGACATGATCAACATCGGTCATGTTTGCCACAGAATAGAGCTCAGCTTGATCAGCCATCCATGCACTAACAGAAACCAAGCCAGTTAGTGAGAATATGGTTATCGCTCCAGTGGCCTAGTGGTTAGAGCGCCCGACTCGAATGCGGGAGGTTGTGGGTTCCACCCCCGGCCGAGTCATACCAAAGTCTTACAAAAATGGTATTAACAGCTGCCTCGCTTGACGCTCAGCATTAAGAGGTTAATGTTAGGACTGGTCGTCCTGGTGTCAGGATAATGTGACTGGGTGGGACATCATGCCATATGTCTGTGACATGATGCCTCAGTGCTAGACATCTCTATAAACTGCCACACTGCAGACATCGTGGCGATAACAGAAAAATTGTTAAAGTTACGTTAAAAATCATAATCACGTCACATTTAATAACGTGGTTATTTTCTAAAGACAAACAACAATAAAACAGCATAATAATAATAATTACATCATTATTTAAAGTTGTCATATAAATGTCTCACTAGAAAACAGTTGAAATGCTGATTCAAATAATACTTGGAACAATTTCTTAATTTATTGTCTCCAAGACAAATGTACCATCCTGCAGGATTTGAACTTCACTTAATAAAATTATCATTATTTTCAGAAAATGAATGAAATTGTATAAAATTTAAACTTAATTGAAGGAAGAGCAATTTACTCGCGTAAATATATCTGTAATGACGAAAATGGGTTTACAAGAAAGGGGACATAACCCTTCAGATTTGTGTGAGTACAATAGTTTTCTATGCATATCTTTTGATGATGACATTACCATATACCAATTTTCATAGCAGATCTCAACACTGCAAATAGTAGAGTTGACAAAATTATATCAAGCACTGCAAATATACTGAGGGGGCAGGGGCCAGTATTTATGTACAAATTTAATGCCGCAATCAGTGACCTAGTACAAAAAATCATAAAAAATCAAATACACAAGTGAGGTCAAGAATGCCCATATTTTGAGATACCTATATTAAAACAAAGCATAAAAATATTATCCACTTGACCAGAGAAGTCAGTGGCAGTTCATAGCAGAAGAAGTTTATGCACCCCAACCCCAAATTTATACCTGCAATTTTCATGTCCGAAGGTCATTTTTGACACCATGTGGTACTCACAGTGCAAACGCAAGCCCTTTTCCTAGATTACAATTCTGCCAAACAGTGTGTACTAAACAGGCTGATGCAGTTGAAAATAGTTGTCATCCAAGCCGTTTTTGAGATATGCTCCTTGTCCCAAACCCACATGTTTACTGTTACGAGAGGCTAGCTCTTCTTCGTAGACAACTATTGGTATTTCACTATCAACATATTGCAGAGTAACTATGGAAGGTGTACATGCCTGACATCAATTTCAAGAACAACACAAGCCCGAAACACCTAGCTCACAAATATATCCATATATTTAATTAGTAGACAATAATTGCTGAAAAAGTCACACCATAGCCTTAAGTTAAGAAATTTGCCAGGGGCCAAAATACGAAACTGTACCCTGCCTCCTTAAGAATTTGGGTCAAAATGGTTTATGTCACAAGTTGTGTATATATCACATAGTTAGACATTATCTAGTACAATGGTATAGAGGAAAACCTTTTGTGTGCAAAATTAAAAATGGTATTACGCTTTTAGGAAAGTGACTACTTTGCGGCAAAAAGCATTGCATTATTTACATTGTGAGTTATGACTGACTGCATTTCTTGAAAGATTTCAAATTGTTTACAAACTTCAATGATTTTCTCTTTGTTTACCACCACAGCATTAGGACAGCATCAAAATTCCTTTACAAATCTTTCATGAATGTCAAGAAGAGGTTTGGAAGTTATAAATTTTAGGAGTAAATGACAGAAATGCAATGTTAATTGTCAGTGACAGAAGTGAAAATTTTCTATAAACCCTTCTAGCAAACATAAAGAAATCACACATTTAAGTTAATAATGTGCTTTGGAAGTACTTTTAGACTGATATAAAACAAGCAGTTCCTAACCTTTCATTATTATTCTGGAGATCCTAATAGGAGCATCAATGTTGTGTGAGTGTGTTTTGGGGGGGAGGGGGTAATCACAACAACAGTCTAGCTAATCTGGAAAGATCAAAGTTTAATCTATTAACATTAGACCATGCTAGAATATTAACATACAGATAAGTGGACCCAGTTAAACTTACAAAGGGACATATCAAATAACTTCAGTGATACATAGCCACTGAAATTGACCATACATATACAATTACTCAATACAAGTTAACATAAATCTCTTCTCAGACACCAATTCACTTACAACTGACTCTAATGATTTCTGGAGTTTACAAAATCATAGTGAATAATAAGAGAAGGTATAGAACAAATATTTACAGTGGAAAATTTAGTTCAAGGTAAAATGTATTTCACTTGCTTGGCTTTTAATAAGTACATACCATAAAACAACTCCTGAGGATGTTAAATCTATCCGTCAAAGTCTCTCTCTTGTGCACACAGAACAGAATGAGTATCTGGATGAGATTCAAGCTATTGTTTCTTTCAGCATGACTAACCGATTAATCCTAATCTTCTACCATGCAAACTGAGACCTGCAAAATGAAAAGTATCAAGTGATATTGATGTACTTTAAACATTCAATGAAAACTATAAGAATTTCAGAGGAGAAACTGTATGTGTAATGTCCAAGGCATGAAACTGCCACTTAATTTTAAGCTTTTCCCCTTTGTTAACTGAACCTAGAAATTTCAAGATGGATATATAACACTGAAACATTTTCTATTATCACCCAAGTGTGAGATATGAACCTCATGTCAACTTTACAGTGGGCTCATGAAGGTTGAAACTATGTCGGAGTACTAAAACTTTCATTCTTCTCACCAAAATATAGCAAGCGATATGCCATATGCATCATTATTCCTAACACCATTCCACTTGTGACATTCAACATTCACAAGAGTATGCTTATGCACGATTCCTCCAAAGTCTATCTGCTCCTGTGGAGATAAATTACTTTAAAGAATGCATGTTGACATGCTAAGCAATTGTTTCTTTGTGTCTGTATTGAAATGTGAATAATATTCATACAAATAGATGTGCAAACCTTGACAACTACATAAAAAGCAAGACAATACATTGTGGTCACCATTTTCGTTCCATATTTAGTAAGTGAAGTCCAACATATGCTACTTTATCATGATGTAAACAGTTCTCATATTGAGGTATAAAACACAGTTACCTCCCTCGCCAAAGAGCATTACATATAACACTACATGAAATATGGAAAAAGGAAGGAAATATAATGAAGCTAATGCACAAAAATTATTTAAATATACACAAAGAAACAAAAAAGTATAATAGTCATGGCTGACTGCACCATAAAAAAATTATCATTTTTGCTTAAGGGGGCAGGGGCCAGTATTTATGTACAAATTTAATGCCGCAATCAGTGACCTAGTACAAAAAAATCATAAAAAATCAAATACACAAGTGAGGTCAAGAATGCCCATATTTTGAGATACCTATATTAAAACAAAGCATAAAAATATTATCCACTTGACCAGAGAAGTCAGTGGCAGTTCATAGCAGAAGTTTATGCACCCCAACCCCAAATTTATACCTGCAATTTTCATGTCCGAAGGTCATTTTTGACACCATGTGGTTTTTACAGTGCAAACACAAGCCCTTTTCCTAGATTACAATTCTGCCAAACAGTGTGTACTAAACAGGCTGATGCAGTTGAAAATAGTTGTCATCCAAGCCGTTTTTGAGATATGCTCCTTGTCCCAAACCCACATGTTTACTGTTACGAGAGGCTAGCTCTTCTTCGTAGACAACTATTGGTATTTCACTATCAACATATTGCAGAGTAACTATGGAAGGTGTACATGCCTGACATCAATTTCAAGAACAACACAAGCCCGAAACACCTAGCTCACAAATATATCCATATATTTAATTAGTAGACAATAATTGCTGAAAAAGTCACACCATAGCCTTAAGTTAAGAAATTTGCCAGGGGCCAAAATACGAAACTGTACCCTGCCTCCTGAGTAAATATATTTATAGAAAATATGTCAATCAGCGCATCTTCTGATAATCTTAGTATCTTTCATAATGATTAAAAAAAAGCTTTAAGACAAGTAATGTTCAAAATACTGGCATGCAATGCATTCAGCTACTGGGCCAAAAGGGCAATAACTCTTACAAATAAGTGATGGAGTGGAGTGACTTGGTGAAATACACATATTCATATACATGTAATGTCCACATGTAGTTTCATGCTGATCCACTAAAAATTCGGGAACTAGTTATATTCAAACAATTGGGTCATATACTACATCCATCTAGAGTTAAAAAGTGAATAAACTAAAAAATAAATTTTACAATCACTGAGATTGGTTGATATGCTCAACAAATTATGTGAACTATATTTTACATCAATTCATGCATTCATAAGAACAAGTTATGCACTGCATTCAATTGCAAGACAAAAAAAAAAATGGTCAGCAGCACACATGACAAAAGAATTGATCCTCTACTTGCCAAAAAGATTGTCCACGAATTCTTCTAAATGTTGAAATCAGCTCAGATATTCTTCATCAATAACAAGATTTCCAAGATGGCTACCATGACATCATTTTTACTTAGGCCCCATCAGACACTGCAAGCAGTATGTTAGTGAAATTACCCCATGTCCATAATATTTATTCCTTCAGTCACTGTGACCTTTATTTAAAATTTATTTTAGTTCTTCCTTACCCCAGGTACACCACAAAGACTTGAAATGATAAATGTTGATACAAGTTCATGTTGTGGAAAGTTTTTCTTCTTTCAATGACATTGATCTTGACGTTTTGATTCTCAAAATGCTAAACTCTTGTTACCCAAAGTGCATGCCATCCACAAAATTCAGTAACTGTAGATGGTAGATAACTCAAATTAGTGTGCAGAAATAATCTGTACTGTTTCAGTCACAATAATTTCGGCCTTTGACAGGTTCGTTCATTATCCAGTGTGCAAGGCATCCACAGCGTTGGTAACTGTATGATGTAGAAACCATAATCTCCTTCCAATCAGACACCTTGACTTTGACCCTGAAATTGACAGGGTTATTCCTTGTCATAAGTGCAAGCCATTCATAAAGTTTGATAACTATCCTGTGGAC